TCAATTAATGGTGGAAATATATATTTTTAAATAAGATCAGTATATGGTTTATATTTGGCTGACCTGGAAGGTTTACAGAAATTTTCCTGGCACTTAATGAATTTCTAACTTTTATAGATAAGTGATATCATCTGTAATATCAGTCAATTCAATTTTTTAGTCAGTTATATTTATAACACAAACTCAAACAACATTAATGACCTATCCTTCTACAAATCTGCTTTTGTTTTAAACCCCAATCTTGGAAAAAGCAGACCAACTGATCTGGAGAAAATCAGGATAGATTCAAAGGTACTTAAATAATCTCATAAAGTAGTCTCTGAATATTCCCAAATCTAAGTATGTGTCATTATTAAGAGTACTTCTGCTTCTGAAATCAAGGAAAAAATCCCATTCGATATAGCAAAAACAAAAATAAAACATCTGGGACTAAACCTAACCAAGGAGGTAAAAGACCTGTATGCAGAAAACTACACAACACTGAAGAAAGAAATCAGGGAAGACACAAACAAATGGAAACATATACCATGTTCATGGATTGGAATAATTAACATCATCAAAATGTCCATACTACCCAAAGCAATATACAGATTCAATGCAACACCTATTAAAGTATCAATGGCATATTTCACAGACATAGAACAAACACTTCAAAAATTTATATGGAACCATAAACGACCCTGAATAGCAGCTGCACTCTTGAGAAAGAACAACAAAGTAGGAGGGATCACAATACCTGATATCAAACTGTATTACAAGGCCACTGTAATCAAAACAGCATGGTACTGGCATGAAAACAGGCACATAGACCAATGGAACAGAACAGAGAGCCCAGAAATCAACCCAACTCTCTACAGTCAATTAATATTTGACAAAGGGGGCAGTAACATAAAATGGAGTAAAGATAGCCTCTTCAGCAAATGGTGTTGGGAGAACTGGACAGCTACGTGCAAAAAAATGAAACTTGAGCACCAACTTACATCATACACCAAAATAAATTCAAGGTGGATAAAAGACAAATATAAGCCGTGAAACCATTAAAGTCCTAGAGGAGAACATAGGCAGGAAAATCGCAGATATTTCATGCAGCAGCATATTTACCGATATGTCCCCTAGAGCAAGGAATATAAAGTAAAGAATAAACAAATGGGATCTCATCAAAATAAAAAGCTTCTGCGTGGCTAAAAAAACAGTATTAAATTAAAAAGACAACCAACTGTATGGGAAAATATATTTGCCAACGATACCACAGACAAAGGTTTAATCTCCAAAATATACAAAGAACTTACACGACTCCACTCTAGGAAGACATTGAACCTGATTAAAAAATGGGAAAAGGACTTGAACAGACACTTCACCAAGGAGGATATACAGAAGATCCAGAGACACATGAAAAGATGCTCAATATCGCTAGCCATCAGAGAGATGCAAATTAAAACCACAATGAGATACCACTACACCTGTCAGGATGGCTATCATAAACAAAGCAACAAACAACAAATGTTGGAGAGGTTGTGGGGAAAAGGGACCCTCATTCATTGTTGGTGGGATTGCAGACCGGTACAACCATTATGGAAAACAGTATGGAATTTTCTCAGAAAACTAAAAATCGACCTGCCTTTTGACCCAGCAATACCACTGCTAGGATTATATCCTAAGAATCCTAAAACATCAATTTCAAAGAACCTATGCACCACAATGTTCATAGCAGCACAATTTACAATAGCCAAGAGCTGGAAGCAACCTAGGTGCCCGTCAGTAAATGAATGGATCAAAAAATTGTGGTACATTTACACAATGGAATTCTATGCAGCAGAGAGAAAGAAGGAGCTACTACCCTTTGCAACAACATGGATGGAACTGGAAAGCATTATGCTGAGTGAAATAGGCCAGGTGGTGAAAGACAAATACCATATGATCTCACCTTTAACAGGAAGCTAAACAACAAAACAAGCGAGCAAGCAGAATAAAAACCAAGACACTGAAATAGAGAATAGGGTGACAGGGTCCAGAGGGGAGAGGGGAGGGAATTTAAGGGGAAAAAGGGGAGGGATTTGGAGGAACAAGTATGAAGGACACAAGGACAAGAACTAAGGGGGGTGGAAATGGGAGGGAGGTGGGAGCACAGGGTGGGTTGGGCTGCGATGGGAGAAATAGACAGAAAACTGTACTTGAAAAATAAGTAAATAAAATTTTAAAAAAAAGAAAGAAAAAGTACTTCTGCTTCTGTCATGGGCAAGCATCAGCTTTGGACTCCACACACTTCATTTTCCTTTCCTCTTCCTCTTGTATCCTCTCTTCTTCAGCCTCTCCCTTCCTCTCTTCCTTTGTACCTCCCTCTCTTTCCTTTTTAAATATCTAACAGCTCTTTCTGTTCCTCTTCCACATATCCAACATTATGAGAGGGAGTCATAAATTTCAGTAGTAAAAAGCAAAACACCAGGCTGGTGTTAATTTTGACAATATGTTGAAAATGTGGAAATAAGTAACTCGTCCCCATATAAGCAATATGCTGAGTCACTAATGGTTAATCACCACCTACAGGCAAGGAGGGGAAAAGGAGAGAGGTAGAAAGTTTCAGTTGGCCAGATTTAACTGGGTTTTACTAGTTGATACAGGAGGGAGTGGGACTGATCAATAATGGTGTTTGGTAAGTCCAGGGAATTTATGCCCATTTTCCATTTCCCCAGCAAGGACAGACTTTCAGATGAAGGGAGAGTTTGAAGATAGAAAATCCAAGAGGGAGCGTACATAGCGCCAAATACTGAGTTCAAAGTGAATGTCTAGGGAAGACCAAAAGAAGGTTCAGAAAGACAGAGGCCCCTCACAGACAGCTATCAGAAATGCATGCCCAGCAAAGGAGCCGTGGAAGGTACTGGGCTGGTATGAACACCTAGACAGTTAATCCTTCACATAGAAAAGGACTCTAAGCCCACATTTGATCATATTTGAAAGAAAAACATGTTCTTGTATACTAAAACTCTTTGACCATAAAACAAACAATAGTGGTTTGAGTAAACGTGGCACTTATGATTTGAGAGTGATCATTGTAGAACATTTCTGCAGGGTAAATATGTAATTGGTTATGGATCAATAAGTAATTTCAAGAGGAAAAGCTCTTGTTTTCATTTTTATTTATTTATTTTTTGAAGTAGCAATGCTCTTAAATCAGAATGAAGCAAATAAATTTAGAAAGTTGAGATTACTCTAAACAGCAGGATTCCTTACTACACTAGTTAAGTTTATCTCAACTGATCATTTATTTATGATGCCATAAAAATCCAAATGTTTTCAGTTTTTATTGTTAGATTTTTGCTGAAAGGCATCTGAAATTACTTTCACAGGGCTCCCATTTTTGACAACTGAATTTTGACATGAAAATTTACAATGATAAATTCACAACAGTTCAATAGTGGTTGTGCTAAAGTGTTTTTTTTTCCTCAAGATTAGCAATGGATTCAGCTTGTGGTCAAATAAGCACCCTACTCAGCTTATTTAAAATTCTGTAAGCGTAATGGAAAAATAAAATTAAGAAAATAAACTAACTCATGGATACAGGGAACAAACTGATGATGGTCGCCAGATGGGAGGGGAGTGGGGAGAATGGGCGAAAAAGGAAAAGGGATTAAGAAGCACAAACTGGCAGTTACAAAATAGTCACGGGGATGTAAAGTACAGCATAGTAAACATACTCAATAATATTGTAATAATTATTTATGGTGTCTAATTACTGTGCTGTATACCTGAATCTAATATAATATTGAATGTCAACTATAATTAATAAATTAAAGAAAATAAATGAATGAAACTTTGAAAATTAAGGGCCTGCAAATGTCTGTGATAACGTATTTTCATGTTTGGTGATTTCCTAATTATTTTAGGATGAGTACCTGAAGGTCAGTTTCTAACAGGAGAGAGAATCAAATATTCTTTGAGGCACAGGTACTGGTACAGGGAGGGCTTATAGGGATACACAAAAATAAAACAAAATGAACTCACATGGTCACATGAGGGAGAAGGGATAAACTGTGTCCGATAAAGGATGAAAAGATTTACATGCTTCTGGAAACTTCCAGAAGACAGACTTTAAACCAAGTACCATAAAGATAGGAACTCTTTTACAGTTTTTCAACGTGGTACTTACTTTGACATATCAGTCAAATATTAACATCTCTAAACAATGGAAGTCTGCATGTGCTTCTTAGCAAATATTGTAAGGAAATGAGGAGATAAAGAATTGCAACATACAAATTGGTAGCTCTTGGAATACAGAAATATAGTAAAGAGCTCCCAAGCTATAATGATTCATGGCAACTTTAAAAGGTAAAGAAAGTTTTTCATTTATTAACTCCTATTTGACATGTACTATGTGCTGACTAAATCCTTGTGGGAGGCTTAGAGTTTGGAGTTTTGGAATGGTCCTAGGATATAAATGTCAAGAGTACATTGTACTTTCTGGATATTTACATATCAAAATAACTATAAGATGACACGGAAACAATGTTTTTGCCATTTTCTTTCATGTCCCCAAATGTCTGTACAGTTTCCTTTTCTCCCATCCATTGCCTACAACTTCAGACAACTCCCTTTCCAGATTAGAAAAGAAATAAGGACACTACATCCAGACCTTTTGATGTTGCCCATATTACAGCCCCTGCTTCCAGCCCATTAAAATAATATCTACAAGGCAATAACTTACTTTATTAATTTGTCAGGTATCCCTAAAGTCACTGAAGACATACCAAAAAGAAATCTTTGTGAACATAGAACTGACAGGAATTCACACTTAAAAAGGAAAACCACAATATTTTCTATTATAAGGGACACTTTTAACAATAGTGATAGGTATAAAGTCTTATTATCTCTAGAGCATATTTGTATTTTCTATACCAAAGGACTGATTGCTGCTGGAGAGGAACTTCCAAAAGACTGAATTATAAGTTACTTACAAAAAGCTAACAGTGAAAACAATTTTTGAATCTTATTTTACAAGTACTTACTATATGCAGCTCTAGGTAGTCCCCCAGGCCAGAAGAACTGTCCACTCGCACCAATACAGCCTCTTTCTGCACAGTGCTAAACCCTATGGCCAGTCTGTCCGCTCGAGTACTTGGCCGGTCATTCGGAGGCCACTTATACGTGATTTGTCCACCACCTTTGCTAAAGATATATGTTGTCCCAGCTGGAAAACAAAAAACAAAACCAATTAGCCCAAATGTGTGATGTGCACACTTCCCTATGGTAGTTATCTTTTCGTATCAGTAAATTATTTAATTTATACTCTGGACAAATAAAAAGAAATAGCAAAGCAAATAAGCAACAGATTTCAATCAATCATGCTCAAGAAAGAGAAAAGAGGGTTTTTTTTTAATTTTAAAGAAATATCAGGGCAGCTTAGTTTTTTAATACACTCATTAAATCTACCAGCAGGTGTTTCAGAACAAAAGGGAGATTACTGCTTTTCCAGTGGAGTTGGACAGGCACAGCATGTGATGAGTTTTTTCCCTTTCTGCCCATTAAAAAATATATTTTAGTAGAAAACATTGACTTTGGATGCTTTCAAAAGGAGCAGAAATATATATCAACTTGTTTTTGAAACAAGGGCTGCACATAGATGTGACGGGGTCACACAACACAGTGAAGCAATATGCTGTGAATCAGCTTCTGTGGGGAACGGGTCTATTCACATGTGACAGATGATAACTAATGGATGAACAGCCCTAAGCCCCAGTAGTCATGTCAAGAAAATAAAGATAATAGATCCCATTCATAGAAGTCAAGTCTTATTTAACAAGCAACATCTAGTAACTGTCAAAGTAGCCGGCATCATGAAAAGGCACATTCTTCTTCTTCTCCAAAGTGAATACTACCTTACAGCACTGAGAATAATGTCATAGCCACATGGTGAGTGTTCAAATGTAACTTTACAGTGGTGATGACAGTGAATTTTCCATCTTACTTTAAAAAAGAACTTTGTTTTCAAACAGGTTTACTAAGAATTTAATGCATCAGAGTCTTATGTTATTGCTCCCCTTGAATCTATCTCACTGAACATAGTAACATGAATTCTTTCAGCCAGAATACTTGGAAGAGACATGCAAAGATATAATATGTATGTGTGTGTATTTATACACATATACACATATATATATGAAGAGACCTTCCTCCACACTAAAGGGGGCCACAAAAATATATCCCTAGTTATCACAGGAACATAACTTAAGGGACAATTTATGGAGGGGATTGTAGCCTTCCAATAACAAAGAATGCCACTGCACATTTATTGTGCACCTATTACATGAACAGGGTAAGAAAAGCAGTAAGAGAGAATATCAAGATTTAGGCCATAAAGCATCTGTGTTTATGGAAATATACTTTCTACCAAGAGTAAGGCTTCTGTATGTAAAAGTTGTATGTATGAAGGGAAACTACCCCAAAACCAGAATTTGTACATCTTACATGCTTAAACTTCAGTCATCTTTAAAGTACTCTCCATTTGATGAAATATACCTCTCAAGACATTTTTTCCAGTGTTCAAAACAGTTTTTGAACTTGTTGATTTTGACACCTTTTAGTGTTTCTGCCATTTTTTTTTTGTTTTGCCTCTTTCAAATTGGCAAAATGTTTCCCTTTGAGGACTTGTTCCATTGGGGAAACAAAAAAAAAGTCACTTAGGGCTGATGAATAGGAAGGGTGGGGTACAGGGGTCATGCTGTTTGGGGGCAAAAACTGCTGAACACTTAGCACAGTACGGGCAGATGCGCTCATAAATCACCCTTCACGAAATGGGTAAATATGCTGGAAGAGGCTTCAGAAAAACTCACTGAAGCCAAAAGCAGCCTCTTACAACAACACCAGCTCACACACAGATACAGACGGGTTCCTAGAATGCTCACTCAACTAGCAGGGGAAACCTGTACCACACAGGGCCTGCCCTCCAGATGATAATTCTGGCTTTTGGGGGTCTCCTTTCATACAGCAATATGTTTTCCAGATATCTGCCACCAAATTTACATGATGACCTAATTTACCAATTACATGAAGATGACAATATCACACTCATGTACATTTAATTAAATAGCTGATAATATCAACTTTTCCAATTTTTTTTGTATTTTGGAGCCAATTTTTCTCTATATTCTGTCTGGGACATTTTCAGAGGCTCGTGGGAAACTCTGAAGCATGCTCAATATGCCTGTTATGCCTGATTGGTTTAAAAGTTCCTGGCACATAGACCCAACTCAAGAAGCACAACAGGATGATGTTGAATGTAAAAGTGATCAAACAGCAATTTGTAAAAATGCAAAGGTGGAAAGGATAAGCACATCTCTATTCAAAATTTTGGATACTAACAAATAAAAGTTTAGCTCTCTCAGGTTAGAATAGATAAGTTATATTTCAAAGGCACTAGTCAGTGTGCAAGAAAAAAGAGAGGAGGGAAGGAGGGAGGGAGGGAGGGAAGGAAGGGAGGGAGGGAGGGAAGGAAGGAAGGAAGGAAGGAAGGAAGGAAGGAAGGAAGGAAGGAAGGAAGGAAGGAAGGAAAGGAAATTTAAAACATACAGATTCCTGTATCAGGAATGCCAAAGCCTTCCAGAACCATTATTATTTGGCATCATCAGAAGCGTGTTCATCAGGCTATTAATAAGCAAGCACTATTTGGTAAATGTTTTTCTGCTAGGTGATTTTGATAGATGATTAAGTATTAAGTATTTCAGGAAAGCCTACATTGATAAATATAGGACAAGAATATATGTGGATATTTCTTTAAAATTAAGATGTGGTGGTGGCCTCTGAATGCTGATACTTAATTTTATTTTCTTCATTTTAATTAACTTTGTTCTCTAATGGGTATCTATTTTATATGAATTAAGAAAAAATATTCAAAACAAGAGACACACGACTTCTGCCAAGATGGAGGCATAGGTGGAGATACCGTGCTTTCTCACACAACCAAGTTTAGAGACAACAAAATATTAGCAACAGAAAACACAGCCAGAGCACAGAAAATGAAACTTTTCAGAAGTCTGATAACAAAACAAGAGACACTACTTGACAATATGAAATGTATTTAAGAATTCAGATGTTTTCTAGGATCCCCCAAATAAATTAGTGTGGTAAAGTGACAAGTATCTTACATGGTGTGGTGGCTTTTGAAATTGAAAATCACTTTCACAACAATTTTCACTTCTCTACATCTACATGGAAAGTAGGGCAAGCATTACCCCCACGTTATATCTGAGCAAATTCAAAGGACTGACTTGTTATCTCACGTTGCAAGCTTGGTATGTGGCACAGCTGGTAGGAAACCTAGTAACTGGGCTCTGAATCCTATATTCTTTTTAATTACAGAAACATTTCTGTTATCACAACAAGACTGTCAAAAAAAGTTAATTGGATATGTCAGTCTGAATTTATCAAGGCCAACTGTTATCATATTCTAATGTCTCATATCCATAAAGTGACATTTGTACCTCATGATCATATACTGTCCTTTCACCCTGCAATGTTTTCAAAAAAAGAAAAAAATGACATGTGAATGTGAAATGACAGAACATTTAATATATGTAGATTAACATTTAGTTTAGGGTACACTTCCCAAACTCATGGAACTATGAAAGTTTCTAGTTGCTCAGTCACAGGACTTGGGGATAATAATTTAAAGGTCTACATTTTCAGCAAGATAAATGTTACAATATAAATATTATTACTCAAGATTTTATTTCACCCCATATTTCAGCCTTTCCAGTGTCACAACTTAGCAACTAGCGTGCGTGTTAGCTAACTCTGTCCTCCTTACAATGACGTTCCAACTCTCAGGTTTCACCAAAACAAAGCAAGTTTAGTTTACTACTGTTGGCTAACCAATGCAATTACCTCTAATGTCCATTTTCTCCAGATGTATCTGAAAACAATTCTTCTTACTTCTTGCATATGCACAATAATACATTGGATTGTATTCACTGGCACAATTCCACAATAAGCAAAGGGATTAGCTGTCCAGCTCTGGCATGGTTCTCTTCTACAGATCTATATAACTATCTTGGCTTTCTTTACTTTTTCTTTTTGCATCAAATTCTACAAAATTGCTATGCTCTTAAAGCCTTCCTTCCATAAAGATAGAAAATTGCCATATACTCTTTTGGTTATCTTGAAAATATGAGAATATGCCAACAATAAAATATAGTGGGTCAGATGTCTAAAATTTCCAAATCTACTTCCTTTAAATTTCATCTTTTTTGAAACAAGGACATGATATACTTACTGAAGGAGAGTAACTAAGACACTGAGAATGTAAACTTTGGATTCAGGCAGAACTGGGTTCAAATTCCAGCTGTATCATTTGCTAGCTAAATGACCTTGACCAAGCTATTTATTCTAACTCTTTTTTCCTATCTGAAAAAAAATGGGGATAATAACACTATTAGTTCACAGAGTTTCTATCAGGATTAGTTAAGATCGTGCACAGTAACACTTTAGTCTCATTTCTGAAGCATATTAAGTACCCAATACATTTTAGAGAAAATAGATGGCATGTTTGTATGTATGCAAGTGGTAAAAATATAAAATAACTAATATTGTAACATTGTTGTTTTGTTTTAATATAAATGACTTTAGAAAAGTCCTAGAGGAGAACATTGGCAAGAAAATCTCAGATATTCCACGCAGCAACATTTTTATGGATATGTCCCCTAGAGCAAGGAATATAAAGGAAAGAATAAACAAATGGGATCTCATCAAAATAAAAAGCTTCTGCAGGGCTAAAGAAAACAGTATTAAATTAAAAAGACAACCAACTGTATGGGAAAACATATTTGCCAATGATACCTCAGACAAAGGTTTAATCTCCAAAATATACAAAGAACTTACACAACTCCACTCTAGGAAGACATTGAACCCGATTAAAAAATGGGAAAAGGACTTGAAGAGACACTTCTATTAAAGAGGACATACAGAATATCCAGAGATACATGAAGAGGTGCTCAATATCGTTAGCTATCAGAGAGATGCAAATTAAAACCACAATGAGATACCACTTTACACCAGTCAGAATGGCTATAATAAACAAAGCAACAAACAACAAATGTTGGAGAGGTTGTGGGGAAAAGGGGTCCTTAGTTCACTGTTGGTGGGAATGCAGACTGGTACAACCATTATGGAAAACAGTATGGAATTTTCTCAGAA